GGATTGCTAAGTGCGCGGAGCGGCGAGGGGGCACGGTGTCGGTAGCAGTCTGGTCACCCCCCTCAGCTGGGCCAGAGGTGTCTGAGGAGACCTCCAAAGGCTCAACCAAGGGGGGTGGGTCTACCTGAGACACACCTGAGGGAGCGGGACCGGGAGGAGGGAGGGGGGCTACCGGGGGGGGGTCGTCCACCAGGGAGAGAGGCGGGAGGGGTATCGGGGAACTACGGTGGGGGTGAAGACTGTAGAAGCAGACGGACTTGTCAAAGGTGACGTCGCGGGAGGACAGCACACGACGAGAGCCCGGGTGGTAAAACTGCCAGGGTGGTGCGTCGGTGGGAAATCCAAGGAACACGCACCGAAGAGTGCGTGGAGAGAGCTTGCCCACAGGCAAATCACGGACAAGAGAGAGGGAACCCCAGACCCGAAACGCCGACGCATCACCAACCTCGCCCGTCCACCGTAAAGTGGGGAAGGTCTCCAGGTGGGAGACACGGGGCCAGAGGTTGAGCTGCTCAGCGGCGTATCGAACCGCAAATGGCCACAGAAAATGAGGAGCAACCGCATGAATCATGGAGGTGCGAGCAACCTCCATGACCAGACCAATGCGGCGCTTGGCAATCCCATTATGCAGTGGAGAGGTTGGAAGCATGTACGATTGGACGATGCCCTCAGCACCACAGAAGTCCTCGAGGAGGCGGGAGCAAAACTCACCACCTCGGTCAGAGTGCAGCCACAGGACTGGGAGGTCCTGACAGAACCGAGCGCGAAGTTGGAGACGGACAGCGGGGATCCAGCGGATCAAGACACCGCGGACATCCGCCTTGCTCAGCAAGGGGAAGACTGTGGTGTAGCGTGTGTAGTTGTCGACAACCAGCAGAAAGTAGCACTCGCCACCCTATCCAGTGACGCGGGCGGGGCCCCACACGTCCATGTGCAGGGTCTGCAGAGGAGCAGTGGTAGGAGGAAACGAGGAGGAGTGAGGTGCGGGGCGCCGCCGCCCCTCGACACAGGGAAGGCAGGGCGGTGCAAGCGACCTCGGAAGCGGGGGCAGGGACATGGGGAGACCAGACTCAAGGAGACGGGAGTGCATGCCACGGAGGCGTGGCAAGGAGGGGTGACAAAGAAGGTGGTGCCAGAGGAGAGTCTGGTGCGTGAGGAGACGATACGAACAAGACGCAGCGACCTCAACCGACGCAGCTACCTGACCTGACTCAGCTACCAGTGCAGACTCAGTGGCCAGTGTGTACAGGCCAGACCCAGGCCTCCGAGTGAACGTGATGAGGTGCTCACCAGTGCGCGAGTCCATACAGATCGCCATGAGCTCGCCTCCAGGCTGGGTGACAGTGACCCACTGGTCCTAGAGGACAGAGGCAACCACCAAGTTCTTAGCGAACGAGGGGAGATGGAGACCTGTGAGGAGGCCGGAAGGGGCCGCCGGACAAGGGAGAACAATGGTGCCACGCGCGACTACCAGACCCCCGGAGGGGTCGGCCAGTGTGTCAGGGACATGGACTGTGAGCGGTGTGAATGTGGTGCTGTCGCGGAAGAAGCAACAAGAAGCGCCTGAGTCAAGAGTAAAAGTGTGCAAGGCCTCCTCAAGCTCTGCACCTGTGCTAACTGAATCAAAAGCACCAAGACTAGCAGCCTCTACCCTAGCATCTCTAGGCACACACGAGTAACAGTCATCCTCAACACTAGCAGAAGCAGCATACATCGCGTACATGCCAGCATGGATCACAGCCCAGTCACAAGCAAAGACATCTATGTCCTTCTTCAGCAAGGTGAGCCAGTCGGGAGTCTTCATGTGCTCACCATGCTCCGCACGATACAGATCGTCGTGGCGAAAGAAGCAACGAGAATCGGTGTGGTCGAAGCGAGTGCAGGTCGCTCCATGCTAACCTGTGCGACGGATGTACCCACAGCGAGCTGGGCCACCCGAGCTGCCACGTCGGATCACCCACTCACGAAGCTGTTGCAGCGAGAGCTGCGCTTGGCGACTCGGCTGTTGCTGCTGGCCACCCCCAGAGCCACCTTCACCCCCCCCTGCACCACCAAACGCAGCTGAACGAGTGGCCGGACCTCCAGCCCCTCCTGCTCCAGCTCCACCCCTAGTGCCACCCCCACCCCCTCCACCACCCCCATTGCTCCCACCACCCCCTCCTCCTCCCAAGCCGCCTCCACCTCCTCCTCCCCCACCACCTCCACCGCCACCACCGCTGCCCCCGCCACCCCCACCACCCCCGCCACCCCCACCCTTGCCCTTGTCACTGCAGCGCTTCCCACTAGGAGCAGACGCAGCACCGACCTCCTCAACACCAAAGAGGTCAACAGCAGCAGCAGAGGCAACAGACGACCTGAGCAGGGAGGGGGAGCACCCCTCAAAGACAGAGGGGAGGGGAGTGCCACGAGAGGCAGCGACAGCTAGAGCAGTGGACTCAGCCTCTAAGAGACAAGACTTAAACGAGGCGAGGGTGATCTTCATGGGGTCTAGAGCGAGGAAGTGGTCGCGTACAGCACGAAGGGAGTTAGGGTGGCGGGTCGTGAGAAAGTAAAGGGTGAGATAAATGGGTGGCTTGTTCTCAGCCCTAAAGGCGGGCTCGAGGGCGGCAGCGTAGAGGGTGTCAAGGGAACACAGGTGAGTCAGGATGCCGGCTACAGTGGTGAAGTCCAACAGCTTGGGAAAGAGGAACGGCAGCGCCTGGCTGCCTACAGTGGCAGACGACGGGGACGAGTAGCGCGTGACTACAGCGTCGTAAAGCGCCTTGGCCATCTTAAGCTGGCAAAAGTGGGAGCGCTGGTCTAGCGGAAGGTGGCTACGGACAGCAAGAGCGGCTGAAGCGTCACGACAAGTCCACCTGGACTGGTCTACACGAGCAGCTGTGTCAGGAGGGGCATCGAGGGACCCCGAGGTATGCTCATAGAGAGAGACATCCTCCCTAATCTGGCTCTACAGGTACTAGTGGAGATCCTCTAGCCAGGACTCGAAGTCTACCGGATGTTATAGTCACAATAGGCTTGAATGTGCCTAAAACGAAAGATAGAGAGCACAGACGGATTTCTGCACAGCGGCTTCAAACGTTGATAGCGTTCTGCTCACAGCTGCAAATGACTTGATTCAAATTGGATCTGGAGCGTCTTCACGTCTTCTACAATTATCAATTTAGATTGCACGATTTGATAAAGAATTGACGACACAGCGTCGGTTTGAACGAACGGTACTATGGCAGCCACTATAGTCTTAGAACACAAGATAGGAAGAGTTACGAGTTGGGAATGACTCCCAGCTCCTACAAACCCCAAGAGCCGAGGTACAGTGATGTGGAACAGTGCCACACTGTCCCCAACCACGAAGGGTCTCGAAACTACCCTTCACTAGGGCCTACACCAAGTGAAATGTTACACTACACAAAGTAATGTAACTATCTTCAATATCTTGAGGTGTACCCTTTTGGCGAGCTTCGAAATCACTTGAGGCTTGACACCAAGGCTCGGGCTCTTCATCACAAACTCATCCTTGAGTTCTTGATGGGTCTGCTGCACACACCTGCGACACGCCGAACGTTCGACACAGGACAAAATAGAAACCGCGCACGACAAAATAGAAACCGCGCGCGAGACACAAACGACCGCGTAACACGCGTCTAGCGATAACTCGCTATTGACTCGACACACACACTCGACATCATGACTCAACATTCACACACAATTATAAGCATGAAATATATATTATCCCATGCCCTCATACCATTCCATACACACACACATTCACGCACACGGACAACAAGCCGAGTGCAAACCGTAGGGTTGCACCAACAAACTCCCTCTCGGATTGTTGGCCTTAGGATATGTTGCTCTCTCAGTTCAGAGCCATCCCAGCCAGCTTGCAACACTTCCAATGCTGCTGCTCCACCAGCCTCTTGGTCATCATGTCGGCCGGCTGCCCCGTGGTCTTCACGTAGCGCAACTCAACTTCACCCGCGGTTACCATGCTCCTCGTCCAATGCCACTTCACTTTCATGTGCTTCGTGAGTCCATGCAACACAGGGTTCTTAGCAAGAGCAATGGCACCCTGGCTGTCACAGTACAGTGGGGTAGGTCCTTGCTGCTCCTCCCCCAATTCAGCCAACAAACGCCGCTGCCACACAATCTCCCGTACGGCACGGAAGAGTGCCATGTACTCGGACTCCACCGAGCTCAAAGCTTGGTCAACCTGCTTCTTGCTCTCCCAAGCAGTTGGGCCTCCACCAACACAGCATATGAAGCCTCCCACACTTGTCATGTCCTCTGGTTCTGATGCATATGAAGCATCCGAGTAGGCGGTGAGGAACAAACGCCCGGGTTCAACACCATCCGCGCCCTTTTGGCGCCTTTGTGCCGCCGCCGAGTATTGCAGCCCAACGGTCGGTGTTTGGCCAAGATACTTGGCCACCCTCATTCCAGCTGCTACCTGCTCCTCATTAGGGCATTGCACAACCCTAGCCAGCTGCCCGGTAGCAAACGCGACGTCCGGTCGGGTGTTTACCGCCGCATACATGAGGCTGCCCACCAACGAGTGAAATCGGCGCCTCTCCTCTTCACCAACGCTCTCCTCCTCTGGTCCCTTCACACACTTGAACCCAGAGGGAAAGGGTGTAGCCACATGGCCTTCACTCTGCCCAAAGTTGGCAGCCAATGCCTCCAGGTACTTTCGTTGATGCACCCGCATGCACCGCTTCTCCACATCTCGTTCGATGTGGAGCCCAAGGTAGAAGCTCACGTCACTAAGGGCCTTAGTGACGTGAGCAATTTACGTACAGAGACAGAGCAGGACTGCACTCAGCAACCCTTCCGCTGCGCCTGACTGAGATTCTCAACCGCTTCTCACGCTCACGCCTACCTCGCCTACTCCTCCCCTCCTGCCCCATCCTCCGCCTCCTTCACCCTGCAACCAGATAGGGCGCAGTGGCCTCTCCTACCCCCCCGACAGGCGTGCAGTGGCCCATCACCTGGCTTGAACTGCATTAGGCTTGCCCTCGCTTGCGGTAGGCCGGATGAGCCTGATGCAGGCCGGATGAGCCTGATGCAGGCCCACACGTGGTCGTGCGCGAGTCGAGACGGTGGAGCAGAGCTCGCAGTTGCCCTTGAGCAGGGGCCAGGGTGAACGCCGTCACAGAGAGGGACGGCAGCCCGCAGGTGGCAGGCAGGAGCACCGCCGTGTGTGCGCACGCCCACCCATGTGCGGGCGCAGCACCAAATGCAGTTCCTCGTTCACCACGCCCGTAGAGCACTGTACACGGGTGGGACAGTGGGAGTGGGGAAGGGAGGGGGGAGAGGGAGGAGGCAGGGAGCAAGTGCATGGGGGCTGGCTGAGAAAGGGGTTGTAGGACAGGAGGCGCTAGGAGTGTGGGGTGGGGTTTCGGTGACTGAAAGGCGGGATGCAGGATGATGTGGGAAGGGAAAATGAAGAGAAGGGGGAGGGGGTGGTGCGGCAATCGGACGTGTGGATAGGAGGGTGAGGCCGCGTCCGGCGTCTGGCGAGGTGATCAAGCTGGTGCGCGACCGCATGGCCGAGTACCAGTCCCATCAGAGCTTGCTCCACGGCCGACCCCACTTGCCCCCGTTGCAGAGGAGGAGGAGGGAGACGAGGCGGAGGACGACGATGACGCGCAGTTTCTCCCTAGTTGCCGACGACTTGCGGCGCGTCTGTCGGCGAGCCAGGAGGCGGGGGCGGGTGGGATGGTGCAGGATGACGAGGTTAGCAGGTACTTGTCCGAGAGGGTGCGGTGCGACGTGACAGCGCTAGAGTACTGGCGCAGTGCCACCAACATGCAGACGCTGAGGCGCATGGCCCGGGATTATCTCGCCATCCTTGTCACGTCCGCTTCGAGTGAGCGGGTATTCTCCCTTGGTCGCAACCTCATTTCCTGGAAGCAGCACCGCCTGGCCTCTCAGAGGACGCAAGCTGTCATGATTCTCAGATCATGGTACAGTTCACACCCTGGCCAGAGGATAGGCGAGGGCCGCCGACCGAGAGGCGTCGCACCACCAGAGTTCGCCATTGAGGGCGAGGGGGCAGAGGAGGACGACAAGGAGGAGGAGGAGGAGGAGGGTGTGGAGGCTGACGACACAGCTGGTGGAGAGGATGCTGTTGTTGGTAGTAGCAGTGGCACCTTAGCGTAGGAATTTGTTAGACTTTGACGTTTCCCTTCACAGTATTTGATGTTGTAGTACTGGGTTCGTTGCATGCACACATTTTGCTATCATCCTAAACCTTCAAAATTGTTTTCTGACATGTGTGACTATATTGAATTTCCCCCTGGGCAAACATGAACATGTTCGCCTCGAACATGTTCGTGTTCGCCTGCTGCAAAAAATCGTTCGCCTCCTAGGGCGAACGGCGAACAACACTTGTCGCCCAAATAGTTCGCCGAACCGAACAATGTTCGGTTCGGCAGAAGTACATGTTCGAGAGGGGGCGAACTCGAACATGTTCGAGTTCGCCCTCTACTCATCCCTAACACAGGTTGATAGGAGACACAGCGCAGAATGAGAAAAGGCAAGACTGGCAGGTAAACATAGAAGGTCAATACGGAGACACGAGACCTTGCCCCCACACTCACACAAATGTACATTCTAAAAATTGAGGGGATGTTGATACATGCCAGGAGGATGAGACTGAACGATGGGGAGGGGCTACAGCATGCTCACATGGGGCTGTGCAGCAGAGGGAAGATTCCACGCGGCTGAAGAATTGGTGAGGGCGAGGAGGGGAAGGCAGGATGGGTGGTGGAGGAAGAGGAGGAGAGAGGAGCATGAGAGAGGGAAGATGCATCCTTGGAAACACATAAGACAACGAGGAAGAGCAGGGAAACGGAGCGAAGAGTGGCGGAGAGAGAGCTCCAAAGGGAGGAGGGGGGAGACGAGATGCAAGGTGCAGTGGTGGAGGGCAGTGCATGGCATGGGATACCGCAAGGCACTTGATTGCACTCTTCAGCTTCATCAGCCCAACGAACACAGCCACGCCTTGCTGAGCACCCACACTCTGACTTGCGTGTGGGTCACGTCCACCCCCCACAGCAGTGCGAGGAGAGTGGCAATGGCAGCATAGAGGACGAAAACCGGAGGCTGCAGATGCGGGAGGGAAGGGGGACGAGCAGTGACGAATCAGTGATAGATGTTAGAAAGTAAGTTCCAGACTTCACATTCACTGATTTCGGACAGACTGGTTGCGGAGCATGGTAGCAATAGCAAAAGAGTCACGCACCAGGGTAGACATGAGCACAAGGGCGATCGAGGCGAACCGAACAGGTTTGTTTTTTTTGCTTAAAGTGTTCGCCAAACAGTGTTCGAGGTTTGCCCGAACACGTTCGTGTTCGGGCCGCTGCTGCAATTTGCCCCGCGACGAACACGAACGTGTTCGAGGTTCGCCCGAACACGCCTTCACAGGCGAACGGCGAACACGTGTTTTTGCTTAAAGTGTTTGCCGAACCGAACGGATGTGTTCGTGTTCGCCCCTTGCTCATCCCTACACCAGGGTGTGGAGAGGCACGTCGAGAGCAATTGTGTGCACATGAGTAAGAGGTCCGCAAGAGGTATTGTGAGTCGTGCCAGTCGCATTGGCCTGAGAGGCAGACAACACATGCATACATACAAAGGGAGACACCCACACAACATGCACACACAGACATGCATGTAGAAAAACATCAAAGCTGAAACCGCTCAATGTGAATCCTAAGTTCAGCCCGTCAGACAAAAACGCAAAGCATTCAGAAGACAAATATAGACGATCACAAAAGGCCACTATGACGAAGAAAATTCTTACTTACAAGAGAGGCAGAAGGCGAGGGGAGCATGAGAGGGTGGTTGAATTTCTGGCAGCTGGTGTCACGTGGAAGCTGCAAGAGGCAACACAGAACGACGGCACAGGTGCATGCTGAGACGCGTGCCTTGGCAACAGAAAATTGGAAGGCATGAGCACAGGTGCAAGAAATCCACGATGGGAGAACATGTGCAGGTATGTTGGAGTGGGCAATGGGCATGCTTATGCCAAAGAACTACCCCCATGCATCAGACATCGCATACGCTACTTGTTGCCATGGCAGCGATGACTCACGTCCTCTGCGATGGTGGCACGCCAGACGTCCCTGCCAAGTGGCGTGATGCTGATGACTGCAATGGTAGTGATGGTAGCGATGGCAGCGCCGAGAAGGAAAGACACCAGCAGCCCTGGCAGCGGCATGGTCATCCGAGCCATGGAGTGAGCCCAATGCGCACGTCTGCAGCACAATGAAGAGGCAGGACAGAGAGGGGATACGCGGCTGGATCAGGGAAGGAAGGGGATAAGCGGCAGCAGCAAGGAAAGGGAAGACCGGCGCGCACTTAGTGTGCAAGTGGCAAGAGGGCAGCGATGGGAACAAATGGGGCATTCAGGCATGGGGATCAAGCGAGAGTAGTAAGTTCACGTGAATAAGGGAAGCACAGATTGATGAGACTGGCGACAATCAAAATGACAGTGAGATGTGTTTCACCGGACAGGGTTGAAGGTCGGGAAACAAAGGCACATAAAGAGGTCCAAGGCGGTGGTGGGGAACCAGGAATGGTCACAGCAGGGGAAAAGTGGGCAGGAGTGGGCGGGGAGGTGGTGGAGAAGCTGCGGCTGCGCGGAGTGGAAGAGGGCAGCGAAAGTACCAGTGGTGGCAGGCAAAAGAGGCGATGAGGAGAGGTGAGGTGAAGAGGCGAGGGGCAGAAAGACTAGATGGGAAAGGGGAAAGGCAACAAACAACTGGCGGAGAGGGGATGCCAACCTCACTGGGTGATAGCAGAGCGGATGGCGGAGCGGCTGACGTGAGGAGGGAAGGGGCAGGTGAGGAGGTGTGTGGAAGAAGGCACGGATGAGATGCAGGAGGCATGGGAGGGGGAGGAAACACCGACTGTATCACGGGAAAATGGTGGGTTCTCATGAGTCTGGAAAGATTTGAAATACATCAATCCTTGTGACAAAAAAACAAAGGAAATGGCTGGTTAATATGCAGGGTAAAAGAAAATAAACAAAATCTGGTGACAGAAGTAGCAGCGCAAGTTGAGGAGGAGCAGATGGGGCGATTACGATTGGACGTGGGAAGAAGTGATTATGAATGGCGGAGACAAGGCGCAGCGTTGAGGCAGCACAGACAACACAACACATGGGAACAGACGGACTAATTTTTTGTGGCCAGGGGCGAAAGGGCGCACAAGACGAAAGAGGCCAATCGCGGCAGGCTCTTCTCAGCAGACGGATTGACAAAGGTCCACCGGCAGGGGAGAGAAAGGTTGAGAGGAAGATCAACTCCACACGACGACAAAGCACAGATACCCACCTCGCGGGATGATAGCAGAGCGACTAACGACTGGGGGAGCAGCTGAAGCTAAACCACGAATTAACGGCGACAGGGACTGGGCAGATGAGGAGGAAGTTACACCCAAGGAGGTGGTGTCTTTGGGTGCAAGAAGGCATGAGGATGAGACACAGGAGTCATGGAAGAGGGAGGAGACAGAAAATGGTTGGCAAAGAAAGAGTAGCACATATGGTGATAAAACTAGCAACAGCAAGTTGAGGAATGGGGGCGAGATGGATGGGACATGAACAAAACTGGTAAAGGCTGAGCTGAAAAGGGATGAAATGAAAATTAAGCATTCTTACAAAGTGAGCAGCAGTTAAAAAAAGAAGTGTAAGGGGAGGAGCAGGACACAAAGGAAGAGTGAGACAGGAACACAAGAGGGAAAAGTGGCAGCGGTGGGCACCACTCACAAGTGCACAGCCATGCGTACCTGGTGTGTGGAGATGGCAGGTGAGCCAGACGGCAGCAGCGAGGTGGCCGTTGGAAACTAAAAGCCTCTAAGCAGACTAAAGGACAAGCTCCCAAGGCAAGGCGAAAGGGAAAAAGGTTTTGAGAAGGAACAACGGCACAAGACAATATGGAGACGAAGAATGCTCCAAAACTACCAGAACGGGGGATCTGACAGGAGTCCTTAAGAAGTGGAAAAAATCATAGGTGCTAGCTTAACTTCGGAGGGGAGAGCGAGGGGGCAGGGAGAGAAGGAAGAGGAGGGAGAGGAGGGAGGAGGGGGATCAACGAGGGAGGGCAGGGGAGGAATGCTACCTCATGCATGGCGTGCGCTGTGGCGCCCTCGCGCCGCACGCCCATCCGAACCTTTCACCATTCGCGCCGCACGCCCTAGCATCCTTTCACCTGTCGCCTCGCTCGCCAATCCGTGCATTCATACCGCAGATGGGTGGGAGACCCATTCATCGCACCGTACGCCTCTCTCAATCCCATTCGCCCGTTCGTCCTCGTCGTGAGGCGTCGCCATCGGACGTCCGAGTCCAGCCCATCGCGTCCTACCGACGAGCACCACACAGAACCCGCACTCGCTACTTTCGTTGAACGCATGCCGCACTAAGGCGCTTCAACGAGCGCATGCACGGATGAGGTCGATCGCGAGCGCATAAGATCCAATGGCGACGACGACTCAATCGCGAAGCTCAATGGTAATGTGGCCTCGGCGATCATGCCACAGAGATGGGCATAGCCGTCTATAACAGATGCTCCCATATTACCGCGTCGCGTTGATTGAAATACTACGTTCGAAAGGACGATGTGCACGGTCATAGGAACAGCGACATTCGCAGAACACCGAGCTGCGCAAGGAATAGGTCGTTTCATTTCCTTAGTGCAGTCCAAAGACCGTAGCTCGAACGCCGGTCCTTTGCGTGTCAATCGAGGAGGATTCGACCGCGCGACCGCCGCCATGCCTCGTCACGACGAACGCCGTGTGCTGCGATCCTGCCACACGCTACTCGTTCTCATCACCTCGCCTCGCACGCTGCCGTGCATTCAGCGAAATAGTCCATCCTCCCTTCCCCCCGCCCCTCCTACGCCTTCCCAACCCCTCCTCCTCCCCTCCCCCCTTCTCCCGCGCTTCGCGGTGGGATCCCAAGATGCCGTGCTGCGCGCGGCTCGAGATGGGCTGGAAGCGGACATGCTAAAGTGAGGCCAAACTAACAACGGAAACGAGTGGGTGGGATGGAGAGATCTGTCAAATGTTAAGACCAATGAACGGATGGGACTCGTGCGAGGCGAACGCATGTGATTCCTCCCCCCTGTTCTTCTCATTCAACCCCTTCCCTCTGCCTGCTTCTCGCCCGCTGGGTCAATCCTCCAATTCCATTTATTCTCTTCCATAATCGTTCTGGCCGATTCATGATTCCCCAACCTCTGAATTCTGATCTATCCCCTTTGAGAGTGTCCCATCTCGTGGCTTTGCTTCTTCCCATCCTCTCCCCTCCGCCCGCTAACGTGGAGCGCTGCCGCTCCGTCTGCTAAATAACACCTTTTTCAATTTGGCTGCTCGAGCCGCGAACTGGCGCACCTGTCACCTTCACTCACCAGGTACTAGGCATGGTCAGTCCACTGTGGAGCTGTCGTCCACCGCTGCACCTCTTCCACTGTTGCCACTACGTTTACATGAAGTCTTCCAATCTGTTGTGGGTCTTCCTGTAATCAGCTTATGTTTCTTATTCTTTGTCCCTACCCTCTTGCTCGGCCCACCACTCACATTCTGTATTCACACAGAGTCTATATGTTCTTATTCTTCACTCCTCAGCCATGCATTCATGTTGTATGCTGTACCTAGGGATTGTCATGTGTCACAGAAGTAAAAATCGTTAATTTTCGCCACATGTTTACCCACTCATGAAACGTCTTGTGTTTTCGCACTCTGTGTGCCTCGTCTTGTGCCGCGGTCTGATGTTTTGCCGCTAGATTGCGCTTTTTTCTTGAGGTGCTCCACTTTTCACTCATTCCTTCATTCTGCACTCATCTCACAAGGTACGCATCTTCGTTTGGAAAAAATCTGTCTCTCTCTCTCTCTCTCTCTCTCTCTCTCTCTCTCTCTCTCTCCCTCTCTCTCTCTCTCTCTCTCTCTCTCTCTCTCTCTCTCTCTCTCTCTCTCTCTCTCTCTCTCTCTCTCTCTCTCTCTCTTGCGTTCTTCTTGAGGGCGTCAGTGTCGTGCATACTTACTCCTTCCACCTCTCACCAGACTCAAAAATGCATCTCTCTTTATCTTCCTCATCATTATCATCATCTCTCCATCCGTAGCCCTTCCTTGCTCGTTTCCACTGCACCCTCTCTCCCCTTCTCTTGCTGCATCTCGCTTCTCCTCGCTCACCTTTATGCACTGCGGCCCCGCCCTGCTCGAGCCAAGCTGACTATGAAGCCCAGCCTTTGACTCAGCCAATCTCTCACTGCTGATATGACATTGACTTCCATTTTTGTTCCCGTTGCCCTATGCTTTCAGATCTTCTCATTGCGTGCTCGCTGAGGCTTCCCTTACATGCATGACCATGGTAAGGGGTAGTGCTTGCAGGGCCATTTTGCATGTCATCGTTGTCAGGCATCATCATTTCAGGCTGAGCTCTTTAGCTCTCTGTCATGGCTTTGCCACCTCCTCTTGTAGCATCTCATCACCGCCCTTTTCCCCTGGATTCCATTCCGGCCTATACTTGCTGGTTTTGCCGCTGCTCATTGTGACCCTCCCCTCTGACCTACTTGCATAATGTGAAGGTGTGTGCATGTGTCGCTAACTGTTCACACATTGGATGCAACAATCGCTTTTCTAGTTTTCTCCCTCCGTTTCCCTACTTTTTACTTTTTGCCTTCTTCCCACCAAATGTTTCTTACTACTACTGTTGTTTCTGCGACCTTCTGGCTGCGCTACTCGTTCAGCTCAATTTTTCTAACTTATGCCTATGTTGCCAGTCTGCAGTGGGTAAACACAAGAATTAGTCATTGAACGAGGGTAATTAGTACGTATGGCTGCTGCGAGAGTGATGGGGCCACTCATTGATGTGGTGAAAGAGGCGGTGCTGGCAGCAGTGAGAGAGGAGCTGGCTGCACACGAGGAGGAGGTGGATGAGTTGCGGCACATGCTGAAAGCAGTGAAGGGGGAGAACGAGGTAATTGTTGCTGTGATGGAGGAGAAGGAGGGGGAGCTGGTATTTGTGAAGGGGGAGCTGGCAGCAGTAAAAATGGAGTTGGGTGAGCACAAGCAGTCAGCTACGTTGCAGTTGGAGGAGGCTGAGGAAAAACGAGTCGCAGAGATGAGAGATATGGGAAGGCGGGTGGAGGAGAACGAGAGGGAGTTGGCTGAATACAAGGAGGCTGTTAAAGAACAATGGGATGTGGCTGAGAGTAAAAAGGATTTGGATATGAGAGAGCTGAAGGATGAAATGAGAGCGGAGTTGGCAAAGGAAAGAGAGGAGAGGAGGAAGGAGGTGGGGGGGTTGATTTGGCCACGTGCCATGGAGGAATTGGCATCATGCAAGGAATGGCAGATAAGACAAGACGTGAAGTCGAATATTGACATGGAAATCCAGCAGAGCGAAGGCATTTGGAAAGTTGCGTGCGAGGTGCGTGTTGTGTGTATGTGTGTGTGTGTGTGTTTTTTTTTTCTCTCTCTCTCTCTCTCTCTCTCCCTGTCATCACGTTCCCTGTTATCTATACCTCATCCTATATCCCTTCCAGAAAATCAAGCCAGCACTACACGAGACCTGTCTCGATTTGAGTCGTTTTCCCTTCCCATCAGACAACTTCCTCCGCCTTGTCTCCACACTGACCCATGTTAAGGACATTAACTTGGAATATAGTTCAGGCTTCAGTGCAGAGGGCATCAAGCACCTCTACAAGCTGCCACGGCTGGAGATTCTAAACCTCAGATGCACAAACATCGCAGACAGTGACCTGGAAGGGATTGGTTCCATGATTAATTTGAGTAACCTCTGCCTCATCTGGACCTATGTTACCGATGCTGGTCTGCCACACTTGACAGGCCTCTCAACTCTCAAAGTGCTGAGCCTTTTTGGATGCAAGGGTGTGTCAGATGTCGGCATGGTGCATGTGGGGAGGCTGACAGGGCTTGAAAACCTTTGTTTGATTGGTACACCTGTCAGAGTATGGGCTGCAGAAGCTGAGTGCCCTGACCAAGCTGAGATCACTCCAACCTCCGCAAGGACAATGGCTTTTTTATGCAAGCGTTCGCGATAGGATAGGTATGTAGGGTGCCAGGAAGTGTGACGGAGGAAAGGTAGAGCATGCCTGGCTAGGAGAGATTGATAAGTATGGACTGAAGGTATGAGGCATAAGTGGTCATACTGGTAAGTGTTTTCTTTTATACAGCAGCATACAGTAGGAAGAATAAGCATGAACACTTGGCCTTAGGGTTATGCCACAGCTGAGTCTCTCTTGTTGAAAGCATCTAATAGATACCCACAACTAGTTAGAGTGTATTTTAAATATAACTACAGACAAACTGATCTGTGTAGGGAACTTGCACAAGGGTGTACAGGATATGGTGGCTGCAGTGGATGGCAAGATGTGATGCATCAAATAGAGGGAGGTGGAACAGACAGAAGCGGAACCTTGTCCGCATGGCTAAGGGTAACAAATATGTGTCCTGCTGTACAGCCCACGCAAAGTCCGTCCTTCCTCGGTTCCACTCATCCTTGCCCTCCAATCAGGCCCTCAGATTCACTTTGTAGTACCCTGATGCATCAGGCTCTCCCTAAGTAAAAAGGCTGATTGACAGTGTTCTAAAAAAAAATAAGGCTGGAAATTCAGTGTTGCTTAAAAAAAAAGCCTGATTGATCAGTGTTACATCCAAAAAAAAGCCTGATTAAATAAAAAACTAAGGATTTGAAGTTTAGCACATCGTGCTTGCATGCAGCATCGACAGAGTTCAATAATCAGAATCAGAGTCACCACTACTCCTACTGCCATTGTCTCCCTGCCAAGCCTGTTCCATTTCCTCCAACTCTTCCTCTTCTTCAGCTACTTCCTTTCCTCTGCCATCGCCCTGCCCCTCTACTGCTGGTGCTGCTGCAAAGTTACCAAAAGGACGGCGCTCCTTGTAGCTGCGCCAGATCTGCACAACCTCGTCATAGTTCGGCTCGTACTCGAGGAGGGACATGGAGAGGAGGTCTTCTAGGCAGGCATCCTTGAGGCTCCCCCGCTGCCACGACTTGATGATGTTCTGGCGGCTAAAGCCGCGCTCACACTCCACCGTACTCAACGGCAGTACGTCGACTGCCACCCACAGCCGCACCAGGTTGGGGTAGCTCGCTGTGAGCCCTGCATGGAAAGAGCGCTCGTTCTTGGGGGCACCTGCGAGGATGGGGCAGAATGTGTGCAGCTCCTTGATCGCCCGCCGCTTGTCGACCCCTGCCAGACAAGAGAAAAGGTTGGGATGTGCATTAGCAAGATTTAGAAGGATAGGGTTATAGGCAAGATAGGCAGATAGGCAGATAAGCAAGGATAGGCACATAGGCAGATAGGCAAATAGGCAAATAGGCAGATAGGCAGATAGGCAGTTAGGCAGATAGGCAAAGACAGATCAAGGGTTAGCAAGAAGCATACCAAGCAGGATGCTGTCGGACTTGTCTGCTTTGAACAGGGTTACCAGTGACCTGAGCCACTCGAGGCACTGGTTGTATCGCTCCACCCTCCCATGCGGCCACTCGTCTGGAGTGAAAAGTCTCACTCCAGACAAGCCCTGCAAGTCTTCGAAGCGTGAATTTAGGTTGCGCACAAGGGTCTCGGCGAACGCAGTGCACAGGTCGATGCAGGCATCGTGGCTTCCCACGGTTGGGAAGTCCTCGTTCGGATTCTCGTGGAGGACGAACTCATGTGTTGTCGGCCTGCCATCTGAGTCCACCCCTTTCACCGTCACCCTGGGGCATCCACCATCGGGGCCATGCTTCGTAATGAAAGGAGACAAGCGCGCGCTCAACCCGCTTCCAAAATCGTCTCCACAGTCCACGTATCGACTCTCCAGGTAGGAGGTTGTCCTCCTGATCTGAGCATGAACGACTGCATAGTCAAGCTAGTAAGGGCAGACACAAGGAAAGAAAGAAGTTGGTAAGAATCATGAATAAGGCATCAGCCGCACACGCATAGACAACAAAACTTTAAAGACCAAGGTAGCAGCAACCGCGGACAGAAGGACAGAAAGGGGTAAGAGACAACAATAATGCATGAGGCCAATAAGAGACAAGATACACATGCTCACCTCATGCTGCTGGAACGTCTTGTTCAGGACGTTCAGCTGCTCCAGGACGTCCGCAATGAAGAAGAGCAAGAAATGAAACCTATATCTGGTGGCTAACTCATACATTTGGAGGTCATACTCCGAAAGCATGACAATGACGGCGGGGAAGACGTCAACCAATTGCAGAACTGCATCACCCCTGGAGAGCCAACGCACGCTGTGTATCCCTTGGAGCTCCAGGTTGGATGCCGTGAACACTTCCTGCAGCGCGTGAAATCTCTGGTGCCAGGGGGATGAACGGCCGAGATGCTCAGCGAGAGCACGGACGAGGTTGTCGACCATGTCAAACTCGGGCAGAGCCTCGGCAGCGTTCTTCGCTGTGAGGGCCTCCCTGCATGAACAACACAAACAAGATCTGTAAGTATTATAGAAGGTACAAGATGTCAAATATTACAGTGTACAGGCAGCCAAAACATTACCTATGGGCGACGCAATGGCTTGATACGAGGTGTGGGATGCGCACACGCAAGCGCGCGACAAGGCCGTTCTTCGCACCCATCATGACCCCCGCGCCATCAGTGCTGATCCCGGCTATTCGGCCGAGCTCAATGCCCAGAGCCTGCAGGTGGGAAAGAAACACTGCAAGCAAAGAAGCAGCATCGCACTTGTCCACCGTTAGCAGAGCTAAGAACTCGGCTACAAGGCGGGTTTCTTTTATGAATGTAATGTAGATGATCATATGCTTTCCCCGACACCTGTCCGTGCTCTCGTCGCATGTAACACCGACGTAAGGGCTGGAGAGGATGTGCTAAAGTTGCGTCGTGTGCAACCACGTGGCCATGGATTGCGTGAGTTGTCCGAAACCGTAACTGTGACGCAAAGACAAAAAACAAGGTTAGAACGTGTAAAACAGCAGACGTCAGCAGATTCAATTCAAGATTGATTGATGACCCTATACCCACGTGGAATAGTAGGTGCCGTAACCCTTTGCGGGAAAACCAGGCACCTTTTTCAGCGCGAGATAGCGAACAAGCTGCACCCACAACTCTATGGGTGCGTCTTGCTTGGCGACAAACAGGAGAGAGTCGAGCAGCGAGATGACCCGTTCTTTCTCGATGTCGCGCGCCAAGTTGTCGCCGTTGATCCTTGGTTGCCGACTGACAGCAGCGAGAGGTCATTTTGCTTCCCAATCGCCACCTTGTGCTTGTTAGTTGTTGCATGACGCTTGAACGCCTGAGTCTGAACGTCTGTAGCGCCTTTACCGTCCCTCCCACACCGTCTAGAGTAGCCCGCATGTTCAGAACAGACACTGCATTTGAAAGCAGGTAAACCATCATTAGTTTTAAGTAACAAAAGCCAAGCAAATCTCTCCAGCCACTCGCTCTTGTATTTCTCCAGACACTCAGCGTAAATAGCGTCGCTGAGACTGTTTCGACGGCCCAGCTTCGGAAGGCGATTGCTGCACGCCAGCAGTGGCGGGCGACGAAGGCATGTCGGTTGGAGACGGCGCGGATGGTCCGTTGACAGAGGCATTGGAGCGAAACGGGAGCGGTAACTGCTTGTAACGCCCATTCTTCTTCGGCACGGTTGTTGGCGCAGATTCCGCCACGGGGGGCGCCTCACGTTCTTGCTCAAAATCAGGCGTTGAAAGGCAATCAGCCCACCCATCTGGATCAATCGGTTCGAAAGGGATCTTGGCAGGCTCGAAAAAGGCAGATCGAGGCCGGTAACTGCGTCAGATCTATCCACTGGCGCTTGACGATGCGCATCATCGCTCCCTTGGGCATTAATAACGCTGGCCTCATGGGGGCCTGGCATAGTCAGTATCTAGACTAGCTACATCTAAGCTAGAGTGAAAGCGGCAGAAACAAGCTACGAGAGAAACCAGCAGTAGAGGCGAATACACACGGCTGGCTGCCTCTTGGTACACGCGCAAGGGATTGAAGCCCCATTCTGATGAAGAGGACGAAGCAGAAACGACTCCTGGATGGCAGTGATGCTGCCTGGGCGGCGTCCCATGCATTCAGAGTCACTGTGGGAGCATCACTTCTTGCCACCATGACGAAGTCGCATCGCGACGCATGTGCAAGCTGCAGTGCTGGAAGGCTGCCAGTCTTCTAGCACGATTCCCTAAAGCATCTCCCCATTGGGCAGCTTCATGGGTAACCCCGAAACTGCCCAATGGTATGACACACCGTGCCAGCACATCATATGTTAGCGTGAATGTGTTGTGAGGGCTTTTTTGTCAGGTAGTCACCGACACGTGGTGCTGACACCGCGGGAAATTGGGATTCCTGCTATTTTCCGGGAAATCTACAGGCAACTTGTAGTTTTCGCTTTCAGTCGAGGTTCGTTACAACGCTGATCCATCAGTGTTGCTAAGAAAAAAAGGCTGGAAAATCAGTGTTCTCTAAGAATAGAAGGTTGAAAAATCAGTGTTGAAAAAAAAAAAGCCTGAAAAAACAATGTTGGTACAAAATAAAAGACTGAAAATCAGTCAAATCAGGGTAAAAAGCCTGATATCTGAGGGCCTGCCTCCAATGCTATCTCACCACCTCCAACACCAACAACTGTTGCCGTGACAGCAGGTGGCAACGCGTGAAGGAGATTCCCTGGAAGGAATGAAATAGAGAGGGCAGAGCACGGATGATGTCGGGACTTGGAACATGAGAGATGATTGTGCAGTGGGATGAGTAGTTTGCACGATGTATGGAAACGCTTGTGGGTTAAGGAACGTTACGAGGTACAGGATGAGGTACAGAATACGATGCGAGGTGAGATGTGCATGGGCAGCTGTCACAAAACTAATAATGTATCCTACTAGGACGTGTAAAAATAACTGCTCACGTAGTTCACAAATGAAAAACTTCACCAGACGATAGGATATATATGATTCCCACTCATCCAACTGGATGCTCATGCTCTCACCCGACTCACTCCCGCAGCCCGCGTCAGGTCATACATCTGCCTCTTCTTTGACCTGCCAACTCCACCTTACCTCAGTTCCCCACTCCCTCCCCTCCCACCCCCATCCGCCCCACCTCCTTCCCATCACGCGATTCTCCTCCACAGCCTCCCTTCTCACCCTGCATTCAGCCAGTTGTCCTGATGCCCTTGCTGTTGCCACTGCCGCTGCTACAGCTGCTTCTGGTGCTTCTGTCCGCCTGTGCTGGAGCTGATTGGGAGGGAGAGGGTTTGGGTGGTAGGGGGAATTGGGGAATAGGTGAAGAAGGACGGATGGTTTGGGAAAAAAAAAAAAAAAAAACGAGAAACGATCTGCAATGACCTCCCAGCTTTAGCTGCCTTTGCCACTGCTTCCACTGCCGGTGCTACTGGTGCCTCTGATGCATCTGTCGAGCTTATTGGGATGAAGGACGAGGGATGGGCGGTTGGGGGAAGAGAAAGGCATGCGTCATGGAGGGAAGGTAGGGAGATTAAGGATGGCAAGGGAAGAAGAGACAAGCGAGCAATGGTCTGTGCTTACTACTTGCTCCACAAAGTTATGGCACTCTTTGTCAATGCGGCCAACGCTGCCACTAGCAACCACCTCCTGATCTCGTTTTCACAGTTGTCACTGCTGCTGACACTGCTGCTGGACGAGGGGGAGGAGGAAAGGGGCGGCTCTGCAGTTAGAATAGGGACAGGGGCACGATAGCAGAGATGGTAGTGGTGGAGGAAGCTAGTTCTTCTGCTATACTGGAGCTGCTTTTGAGTATCTCCAGAAGATGCTCTGTACGTCAGCTTCCCCTTTCCTCCTTTCCCCTCCCCTCTCGTCCTGTCCCCTCCCCTCCCCTCAAATCCTCTCCACTCTCCTCCCCTCCCCTCCTCTCCCCTCCCCTCCCCTCCCCTCCCCTCCCCTCCCCTCTCATTTCACCTCCCCACCCGCACCTCATTTCACCCCACGATACGCAAATATACGCTGAACGTGTATATTCCAACATAGGATAGTGGTATGGTCACACCACATTGGACAAGAATGACATAGGATAGAAGCAGCAGGTGACTATGGAAGCAGGAACCGGAATGAGGGAAAGGGGCACACCACATACCCACCTGGCATCACTATAGTCACACCACATACCTGTCTGGCATCATAGCCCAGAGCCCGGCAGCAGAGGCTGAAGGCGCCCATTCGCTACAGCGGCCCTCCCTGGCGTCCAGGATCCTGGACGAGTGGAAAGAGGAAGGGAGGAGGAAACAAAGGGGCGAGTGTGCTTCAACTCGGCCCTGCCCACTCCCCACAGCGGCCCCTTCCTTGTGTCCAGGGAAGGGGGCGGAGGAGGAAGAGAAAATGGGAGAAAGAGGAGTGACCAATGTGAGTGACAAGTCGTCAGAACCAAGTGCCATATGTGGAAGGCGGTAGTGGGTGGTGATTATGGAAGAATTATCCCTCCCGTCTTTTCCCCACTCCCTCTCCTCTCCCTCACTCGCTCCTTACCTCCCCCTCCCTTCCCCTCCTCTCCCCTCCCCCCCCCTTCCCTTCATCTTCCTTCACCTCCCCTCCCATCCCTTCATGTCCCCTCCCCTCTCTTCCCCTCTTCTCCCTTCCCCTCCCCGCCCCTCCCCTCCCCTCCTCTCCCCTCCCCTCCCCTTCCCTCCCCTTCCCTCTCCTCCCCTCATCCTTCTCCCCGCTCCTCCCCTCGTCCATCTCCCTTCCCCCTCTCCTCTCCCCTCACCTCCCCCAATCCCTCTCCCCTCCTGTTTCCCATCCTCCTCCCACCCTTCCTCCCTCCTCTTCTCCTTTCCCTCCCCCATGCCCCCCTTCTCCCCCCTTCTTACCTGTGCAGATCCACATGCTGCCCCTCCCTGCAGGTCGTCAGAGGAAGGCGAGGCGCTGCTGTGGAACGCACAGGAGGAGCGGCAGCTTAGACACTCCTAGCAATCAAACCTATGCCTCACAACGCTCCCCTTCTCCTTCCTTTCTACTCCCCTGCCCTTCTCCCCTCACCTGTGCAACTCCCCGCCAACAGTTGGTCTTCAGTGGGTGAGTGGCAGCAAAAGCACTCCTCTCACTCTAAACTATGCCCAACACAAGTCGCCCCTCCCTTGTGCCGCTCCCGTCGCTCAACCGTGCAGCTTGACACACTGCACCAACACCATCACCACCACCAGCTGCAGTAGGTCATCAGAGGAAGGCGAGCCCTTGCCGTGGAAGAGGCACAGGAGGAGGTGCGGCAGTGGCGGCACTCGTCTGTGTGGGGAGAGTGGGAGGGCAGGAGCGGATGGGAGGGAGGGAAAGGACAAGGCAGATGGATAAAGGGTGATCATAGGTGTGAGGGCTGGAAGGCACAGGTGGGGGGTGCGGCAGCGGGGACACAGCGGGAGGGCGAGGGGGCAGGAGCAGGGGAGAGAGTGAAGACTAGGAGAGGGAAGAAAGAGAGGGAGTGGTCAAAAGGAGTGGCGGACCGGAAGAGGCAGATGGAATTGTGGCAGTGGGGAGGGGACACGATGACAGGGAGTTCACCCATTTGAAAGAAGAGTAGGGAGGGTGACTACAAGGAAAGAAAAAGGTGGCCGTAGGGAGGGATGGTGCAGATTGGAAGAGAAGGTGGGGTTTGAATATATGTAGTAGTATATGTGTGGATGGAGGGAAGTCAACAGACTGCCGTAAGGGGAACCAGCACTGTGATCACCTGAACCGCAATGCAATTTCCTGACCAGTAGCTGCCTCAACACTGTGTCACACAAGTCCCCTTCTGACGGCTGGTACTGGCCTTCCTGTGGTGGGAACTTGGTGGTGACGGGGAAAGAGAGACTAAGGTATGGTAGGTCTGTGGTCCAGTAGGTTCTAACGCGGTAGACTGTAGTGTGGTAGGTTATAATGCGGTAGGTTGTGGTGCGGTAGGCTGTGGGCAGAGCGCGCTTTCAAGCCACTCATCTGCTCCCGACTCCTGTTGCCCTCTTATACCTAGCAGCACTATGGTTTTAAATATCAGCAACTAGCTTGCAGGTTCACCCATGGCCCTTGATAGGATGTTACCGACGGGAGGAGCATATCAAAGCAGAGCAGAGCACAGCACCGTGCCGCACCACATAATGTCTGGCGAACTTTAGCATGGACGCAGCGACCCCCTCCAGCTGCTGAAGAGAAACGAGCCAAATCCCATTCCATCAAGAACCGCGTCCCAACGCAATCCGACCCGACTCGGTGCGACCCAACATGACCAACCCGGCCCGCTCGACTTGCGCCGACCCGCTGGACCCTACCCGTCCGTACCTGACCTGACCCAACCCGAACCACCCGACCCCCGGCCCGACCCGACTTCACCAGACCCGACCTGACCACGCCCGATCTAGCCCGAGCCAACTGCCCCCGACCCGACCCGACGCAACCTGACCCAACCCATCCCGACCCGATCCGACCCGACCCGACCCGACCCAGACCTGTGACTATGCCCATGCCTACTGAGGCGAACCCTGGCAAGGGAGACTGCAGCAGCCTCCTGAGGTGCTGCAGGGGAATGAGCGAGCGCGCCTTGGCCTGGCGTCGAGGCCTGGCGTGATGAGGAGTGCACCCATCAGGCCTGATTCCTGAGGTGCTGTAGGGGAATGAGTCCTCAGGCCAAGGCGCGCTCGCTCATTCCCCTGCAGCACCTCAGGAGTCAGGCCTGATGAGCGCGCCTTGGCCTGGCGTCGAGGCCTGGCGCGCCTTGGCCTGGCGGGATGGGTCCGCGTACTAATGGGGTCAGGCAATGTGCGCGCCACTACCACGGAACCTTCCGCGAAGGAGGGGAGTCACGGCGTGTAAGGGATTTCGCACGTCTCACCGCCAGAACCCCTTTGTTGCTCGGTAAGTCCCTGATGGTCGCCCTTAAGGATTTTCATATGCACCCACATCACATGGGTCGCCAATGCTTCTCCGCGCATCAGATTTTTCGCATTATAGGATCAATCAAGTGCCCCAAGGGGAGAATCATAAATTGCATTTTATCTCAACGCGTACGTTCAACCGCGGCCACAGGGATCGCCCTGCGGCGGGAAATAGGTCTGCGTCACTTGCGCAGCAGCTGCACGGCGTCTCTGCGCGAGACGAGAGTGCGCAGCAGCATTTGCAGCAGCAGCGGCGGGAGCTGCGCGCCGAGCGAGGCGCGAGTGCGCGGTGGCGGGAGAGCGACGGTCGTGTCTGATTACGGACTTGAGTCTGACAATGCCGCGACCTAGCGCAGCTGGAAAATTGGGCACGATGACAACTCGTTGCTGTAGCTGCTAGTATTTAACGGTTACCAAAGGCTAGTAAGGGCTTTGAATTAGTAGTACTGGTTCTTTGTGGCTATGGATACAGCGAGTGCACTTGGTAGAGAATTGCGTTGTCGTTGACGACGATTCCGTCAACACGGCGACGGTGCGAGCGGAAAAGCCGGTACCATACTGTGCTACTAGAAATCGCCATTGAATTTGGTATACGTGAGGGTGTGGACTCCTGAAAGTGAGCTAACCACGCAGGTTTCCAAAATTAGGGTTTCGATTGAGAGTTGTGATGATTGTCGAGTGCTCAGAAATGAAGGCCCGTGATTCAGAAGCCGCATTCTGTACAACGAACGAATGCTAGCCTTTCCACACAAGCACAACCTAGCGAAATCATCGGGTGACAGAGGTTGGGAAAGGCGGAACCGAAAGCTTCGGAGGCGAAAGGAGTCAGCCTTGGTGTCGTCAACTCGACCGAGCCTCATCCCCGTCATATTCGGGGCTTCGTACGAGAAACACCCTGACGTAAACAGATCTGGAAAACGTAATCGAACGAAAAGCAACTGGACACCCTCAATCGTCTCCCCCTTCTACCTCAGATCACCACCTCGGAAGTCGGATGTTCACCAGTTTACCCAGCCGAGCCTGGCGTGCCTGACCTACACCATTTGCTTCGACACGGGGAAGCTCGAATATCCGTGCCAGAACTTGACGGGGTCAAATTTTCGATGTCCGATTTTTCTTTCTGAAATTCTCCCGTATCTCTCAGTGGAAATGGGTCGTCAAGCCTGACGACCCTGTGACAACCTGATGACCTGCAATCCGGGCAGAAAAAAAACTATAACCCTATCGGATGGTATGCCATCCGAGGGAGGCATCAACCCTAAATCCATACCTCCCTGTGTTTAGGGTTGATGCCTCCCTGACCGGATGCATGCCCGAATGGGTTTTGTTTGTTTTGCCCGCGGGCAGCGAGCTCCCCCGGGCGGACTCGCTTGTCCGCTGGGATATATTCGGAGGAAAATGTTTGCGCACTCTGCACGGAGGTTCGTCTGTCGAGATGTCGCTCCTCTGCAGAAAAGTTTTCTGCAGACGTGCCCTTCTCTTCAGCGGAGTCCTCTGCAGCTGGACCAACTTTCGCTTCAGTGAAGAAGCCCTCTGCTGTAGAGAACAACGAACCTCTGCAGGGTCATTGCATTTTCAACACCCTTCTCTCATATCTTGTGTTGCAAGATCTGCTTGGTATGATACTGTTCACAGTGTCTCACCCATTGTTTCAGATTGATCTGGTTGTCCTCCGTTACATGCACAGCCTTGCGCGCCGTGATAACCACCAGCATCACCACACCAAAACTGCGACCCAGCGATAAACAAAGGCATCACACTTGAAATCATGCTCAGATGTACAAAAGCCCAATTGATCACACTGGAATTTGTTTCCCAATCATTCCACAAGCGATCGTCACCCAAGCCCCTCACCAAGCATCACCAAGCTACTTGATTGGTAAAAACGCCTGGAAATGGCTTCAATGTTAGACGTGTACTTTCTTTGAGTGTGAGGCAAAGGAAGCATAGAAAGTACTGCAAGCCCTAAACTCAAACCCTACCTTCCGTAGAAGCGGAAACTCATGAACGTTTCTCATCAACTCTGGAAGCCTTATTGAATAGTACTCTCATGACAATGTGCTCATCTGCTGAAATTCACTGTTTTGTCATGCCATCATCTGCTGATTTTCTAGCCTGACTTACTCTGCTCACCTGCGCCAATCTGCTCAGTTGCACCAATCCGCTCACCTGCGCCAATCTTCTCACCTGTGCACATCTGCTGCTGGAGTAGCCTTGTGGGACTTGAAATACGCAGGGTCCACATAGCCCGGTGTTCCCATCACTCGAGTGGCAGCTACAGACGTTCCCATAGTGGTGCCCCCTCCAAGCTTCACGAGTCCGAAGTCTGCAATCTTGGCCTGCCCATGGACAACAACGGCACCAATGTGCAAGATGAGGAGGATACTATGCGATTCGAAACACTACTTGATAGTTGGAAACAGATAGAGAAGAGAAGGCAATTTACACCATGTACAGCCTGCCTTAAAAATACATTGACTTGCCTGCATTTTGGCATCAAGGAGAATGTTGGCGGGCTTGATGTCGCGATGCACAAT